TATTAGGAAACGTGCTACTATTCGTGCACAAGTTTTAATTTAAATTTTTCTAGCATTCAAAGTAGGATTATGAGGATATCTTAAAATCTACTTGGCATTAATATTCCTGTCTCTACCACAAAACTCCCTCTTACATTGCAAATACTTTATTTTACTTAATATTTAAGTATAAACTTGGCGAATTCATACGATAACGATACTCTAACTACTGAGTGCGATTGCTAGTATAACAACAACATCTGAGAATATGTACGACTATACATAATCAAGTTGACAATGGGTAGTAAAGTTATACGACGTAATACGACAAATACGACATTGGAAAACTGTAGTAGTTGGCATTAGTTTTAAGGTGTCCATGGACTCCACTCACAAGGACTTCCTTTTCAGATTTAAGCAGCAAAATAAGTAAATGCAAAAGTTTCGAACTGACGACGACGACGACGAGGATGACGACGACGACTACGACTACGATAAATAGGAATTTACTATAAACTAAGAGCAGCACTCTTAGGCGAACGGAGGCGCAGATAACTGTGGAACGCAGCAGTGAAAGCAGGCTTACATGTATAATTTCTGACAGTGTGTTGGCAAAACTTTGAGACCGAAATGGACATTTCGAATTAGTGCTGAATGATAATTACACCAACGTTTTTTAATGTGCAAAGCGGAGGCGGTACTAGAAAGCGGTGACGTGCAAGACATGCACAATATTTGTTGTAAATGAAAGATTTATGTTTAGTTTTGAGCGCAGAATTAGAAAAGGGATTTTCCTATATTTTTGAATGGTTGTTAGTGGGTGCTACATTGACCAGCAATACTCCAAAAGCTTCTGTTACTATTCAGTCAGACCGAGGACTTGTATAATGTGTGCGATAAAATGCAAATTCAAAATAATAAGTAGAAAATTTTGTTCGGAAAAGTAATCATATTAAATGAGAAAATGTTATGCAAAAAAGGGATTTAAAATTTTTAAGCAACATCAGGAATAGAGTAAGTGAAAGGGGGTAAGGTGGAGGTATATGTTTCGTTTCGTTTATTTGAAACTTATTTAATTGGAAATTAAGTTAGTTTTATGCAAGCTGCAAAAACTTTTCAAAATATATTTTGGAAAAATTAAAAATAATAATAATATAAAATTAAAATAAACCAGCTTCGAATGGAGATACTTTTCAAAGCTTATAAGTATTACTTTTAAAACTGAGAACTTTAAAATGGAAAAATAGTGAAAAATAATTAAAACCTATTACTAGTAAAAGAAACTTCTCACTAAATCTATATAAGACATTTAATTAATTTATTCGAAGTGCCTATAATGCACTATTAATACTATTACTATTACATTTCTACTCAGGCTCAAAATAGATTGTTGGTGCCCTATATCTATACTTCCAGGATTTTTAATGTTGTAGCTGTTCCTCTAGCTTTGTTTATTTTTAGATGTTGCTTTATGTACAACTAAGAAATACTTACAGTTGCGGAAACAGTTTGTGCTGTTTTACTGATAATATTCGCATTTTTTTCAATCAAGCGCCCCTGATGATCTATATCTTATGAGGTTCCATTACAACTACCGAAGCACATAGTGCTGTTAAAGTAGTTTGAAATGAGAATTACCGTGGGTTTAGATACCCAAGCTTGGTAAAAGAAAACGTTTCGCTTCTGTTAAGTGATATTCGCTTTACTTACTTATAAATGATTAAAAAGCAACTACACCCCGATCTATTACATATTGCGTGGTGCTAATTTACAAGTATTAAACGTAGTATTGACATATTAGTATTATTGTGAATACGATAGAGATACTTAAACTTTACTTTTGTTAAATTCAAAAAAAATATTGTAATTAATTAAAACTTATATTTCTTAATTAATAAATGAATATTACTTTATACAGAATCCAGTTTGTATATGAAAAACTTAAATTTCAGCTTTGGCACGCCTTTTTATATATCAAAGAAACTGAAACTGAAACTGAAAATGTCTGTATTTTAAAATAATTCATTTAATTATTAAAATTTAAATTAATTTATTTATCTTGCCTCTGTTGCGTATCATAACAGATACTTTTGCGTCCGGTAATTGTGTTCCGTTTGTTTTATTTTATTTATAATTCTTTTATTCCACAAATTCGATTCGTGCTCGACGTTGAAAGCTTTTAGCCAACCACAAAACGTTTCTGAAGGTCTTCAAAATGACCACCTCAAGTAACTCGCGCCGAACTCGTCACAGCCAAAGTCGACGGGCTCTTATGACGTTTTCGCTTGTCTCGCTACCGTTGCTGTTGTAATTTTAGAAGCTGAACCGCAGTCACTGCCCCAAAAATGGAATTATGAAGTCCACAACAGAAATCCAAATAAACATTTAAATGAAATTAAAATAAAACTACCGAACAGAGTAACGAAAATAATTGCATGAGAATTTACATTTTATGCTAAAAATTATTTTATATGGCAACTGCTAATCCCATACAGAATAAGGGTATCAAGGCGGGATTTAGTATCAGAAAACAGATTCATATCGGAAACAGTTCTGATCATTTTACAGCATATCTAAGCCAAAAATCTGTATAAATTTGTATAATAAAGCTTAAATAATTAATATCATTCTATGATAAAACCATTACTTAGACACTGAAAATGACTTTAAGTGCAAATAATATTAATCAAATTTGTTAAACCATTTTAAGAGTTATTAATTAGTTAAGAATAAAATTTCGCATTACAAACCGTGTTAACTGTTTTTTATTGTAATAAGTAAAATTGTATTTAAATCACTAATTTGATTCGCAACTAACTTGACATTTACTGATATTCATACCAGCGAGTACAAGCATACACTTGTACATACGTTCTCAAACCCATTAAAACAATAAAAATATTTAATGAGAACTTGTAATGAACTTGATACGAACTTGATTCGAACTTGATATATGCACATACACATATTGCAATAACAATAAGAACAATAACTATAACAGCAGTGGTGAAATATTACCGACGGTATAAAAAGGAATAGAGCAGAAGAACAAAGAGGAAATTCTATCTGATTTACTAAAAATTATAAAATGCAAAAAAAAAAATCCAAAATTCTAAATTGAAAAGTTCGGAATGTATCTTTAAGAAAACCCCATAATGTAGTGATTGCAACAAACAATTATTATTACTACCAAATTTCTTTCCGTTCTAACTTATAAATAATCAAATTGTCCCTTTAGAATATTAGATGTACATAAATAATAATTAAATTAAATACTTGTATATGTGATAGATAGTAAAAAAAACTTTCCAAATTAACTTACCATCAATAAATTGATCTCCGGCACAGAAAGTTACCACAGAGATGCCATGAAGATTGTTGTATTCAAATCTATACTATTTTTAATAGATTCTTTATGGTAAATAACGAAAAAGTCCCGCGTTATAATTTTATAAGCCCATATTGAAAGAACTCATCTATAATTACATTCATTATTTTTTTCGCCTTACTATATCTTATTATTAGCGTTTGATGCTTTATCGTTGGTTAGTAGACCTATATCCGCAGCGCTTATTTGGTAAAAAGAAGAGCTGCTACTATTTTTTTTCGATTTCGTTTCGTTATTCAAAAACCCTTTAATATATTCTTTCAATCTGTCCAACATTTGTTTTCTTCAGTTATCGAATCGGTTACCTATTAGCAACTTTATATGCACTTAGTCTGTACATATATTATTTATTTTTTTACGTAAATAGACTTTGTGCTTATCTATTATCTTTTCATCTTCTAAACTTCTTTGTTCTTATTCTTCTTTATTGCTATTCAGTCATATTATGTCTGACGTTTTATTCCAATCTACATATCTTTAACACAAGTAAGACTAGTAAAGTCTATGCAGTTCTTCAACAATAGTGGTTGCATATCTTTCATTTTTGCTATTTAAAGATATCAATATTCTATATACTTCTAAGCACATCAAATTTTCGTCACCGTTTAATATATCAAGAAAAAGTTTTGACATCAGTGCACCATGTTGCCATGTCAATATATATAATTTTATTATTAAAAGTCGACTGCTGATGAAAAACACCTTCATGGATTGTTTATTGCAAACTCAAATAATCGTGAATGCATTTTTTACAATTAGTCTTGCAAGTTTTTAGATTTTTGTTTTGTATTTATTTAGACCGTGTGCGAATTAGAGTAAATTGATGGTAAATTGAGGGACATAGTAAATTATGTCGATATAGCAGCGAGTGTTGGTATTTACCAGAATCTCGAGTAGGGTAAATTAGATAAAAATTAGAAAAATTAGGTGTTGTGGAAATTTTATAAGATGTTTAATAAATAAATTTTAAAATTTTTAACCAAAAATAAAAAATTAATGCAATAAATAAATATATACATAAGTGCAGTGCAAAAAATCCCTATGTAATTTGAATTTACTTTACCTTAATTTACTCGAACTCACACACGGCCTTGTAATATATAACTCAGATTCGATATGCATAATCTTAACTATACCAAAAAAAGGTGAATATGTGTTGGATATTTCTGTTGCAGAATTAATGGGTAATTTAGAATAGTACATTTAGTGTGTAATAAATATAATACGTTCTTGGACGTAAAATAGATACAAAATCGAACAATTGCCAACAGAACTTAATAGTTTCACTAAAGTATTGCCCAGCGAACAGTAAAAAAGTAGTATCATTCACAATAGAATCTTGAGAATCACATATACAAGAGGTGATTGGTATTGAAAATATGGTCTTGCATAATGCCTTGGAAATCAATTGCAGAATCATAAGAAAGGAGATTGTTTTTGTAAAATTAAATAATTTTGCACATGCAACGATTCACAGAGATCTTGAATACTATACTATACATCCTATACTACAGTAAATAATGCAATTCAAACATTTATATTAAAATAATATCTGGCAATACTGCAAAAAAAAATTGTGACAGCTAGAATTTATATTTTTAATACAATCAAGTAGGCATTAAATAAAGAAAAATTAAAATTGTTACAAAATGTGAGTGGGTAGAAAAATATAGAAGAAATGAGTATATTTTGTACATAAAATTCAAGTAATAGTGCAAAAATATACCCTTTTGTGGAAAGAAAAAAATCGTAAAAGTGAAAAATATATTTTAATTCAAATGAGAAGTCATTAGTACATAATTACCGTAAGTACAGTATGGCTTCAAAATACTTCGAAAAATTATGTGCGGCGGTAGCGCGAAATACACCCTTCCGAGAGGTACTTACAAAATCAAAGCTGTCACATGCGAAAAGTGCGCGCCCTAGTCTTCTCACTCGTTCAGCCATCAGTACCGTTTTTGCACGTCAACCAGGAACGCGTTCCGAATTTTTAAAATCAGAGTTGCAATGTCCCAAATATAAATTTCCTTCCTCACCATCTTCGGCGGCATCATGCTTTGGAGGAACTCATAATGCAACAATAAAATCATTTGGAACTTCGAGTAAACCACCTGACAAGGCTCCTATTTCATCATATGTATGTAGCAGTTTCCAAAAGCAGCTTATGAGTAACTCAAGTTTTAATACAACCAAAAGAGCGGTAGCAACGTGCAGGAGCACTTGTAATAAATGTGTTGATAATGATGAGGCCGACAGATGCAAGCAATTTCCAGAACCGTTCAAACACTTTGATCTCTCAAAATGGTCTTTTCCTGCTGATTGTTGTAAAAGAAAATGCCCAGATTTGCCACGATATGATGAATTATATTGGCAACCTTCGAACAAAAATAAAAAATATCAACAAACTTGGTCAGATTGCAAAATGGTAAGTAAGCCGAGAATTGTTTGCTGTCTAAACAAATGCAAACCACCAATAGTAAAACGTACTCGTTGTCCAGTAGAATGCGCCTGTTCATATGATCAAGCAAAATTTAATATGATTTGTAAATTGGGCCCAGGACGCTGCCCACGGTTAACGATGCCTTGTTGTAAGGGAGCACGTTATCCACCATGTTGCAAAAATTTTCCGAAACCAAAGAATTGCTGCAAACAAAAATGTCCTTATCCGAGCTTCTCTGAGTGCAGACACAAAAAGTTGAAGAAACCACCCATAGTTGAATGTAAGTGTCTTAGGAAGATACCCAATTGTGAACTCGAGAGAGCGCGCCAACGGCTGGCCCGAATGGGTCGCTATTTTTAATTCATTCACAATACGAAATCAATGCAATATTTGAATCAAATAGTATAGTTAGTCTTTGGCTACATACTGATGTTGTCCTCAACAACAGCATTTAGCGAGAGCACTGACAATATTATTTATTCAACTATTGCATGTACATAATACCTGACATGTCGGCATTTGTGGCACTTAAAATTTTTTTGAAGTCCTATTGGATTTTTAAACACTACTATCGTAACGAGCAAATCTTGACGTTATAAGCTGCCCTAACAGTATTATTAATAGTTCGATTTTTACCGGATGAGACGAAACAAACTAGACAGCTCAATATTAAGATTGCCTGATTATATTCTTTGACAACAATAGCGTAAAAGTTTTTGACATTCGTTTTTATTGGATAGAATAAAATACAACCAAGATGCGTGAACAATTGCAATATTAGATTCCCTATCATGGCTAAACGAAGAGTTGATATGCAATCCTATTCTATGTCAATAAATAGATTTGCTTCAACGGGTGTCAAAAATTTGAAGCTACTTCGCAACGGCAATTTTTCATCATCAACTTCAATCGCAAAAGACATCACAGTTACTTCTTAGTTTTCCAAAGAGGAGGTAGAGAGAGGGTCATTCTTCATGGAAATTTGACGTGCTCTTATTTGCCTTCTCACATGAAGATGTTTTTGATGCCGATGATTTAATGCAAAACAATACTTTTAAGAGCGTGAGTACACAAAATGAAACTTTGACCTATCTTCATCGATCACGCAAACGTATGTAACCTTCATTTATTGGAAATGACTTATGCATGACAATAATACTAACAAACATAGCAATTGAGAGAAGATGTGATCTTTCCAAATCTATATCCGGTAAAGCTCTTCATGGTCTAATAACTAGAGTCACATTTTTGAAAAATCAAAGGTGAGAAAGGCATTATGTATTGTAGGAACTTTTTGCTTAAGAAATCTATTTTTCCGATCCATAAGTGTCTACTATATAACTATAGCAAATTTTGTACTATTCATCAGATAAATTTGAACAAATTTCAATTACTTGAAATGCAATCATAAAAGCAAGTAAGTTATTGAATGCTCTTCAATACTGGAAAAGATGGGATAGTTTGCTTTAGAATCACATCAAAAAGAAAACTTCAGATAAAATGTTCTAAATAGCTATAAAACTAGCTATAAAAACCTCAAAATTGATTGCGACATTACTGATATTGATAACAATTTCTTACGGGAAGACTTTATGGAACAGATAAGATACCTTGATTGTTTCATCAAAACAAAGGCTACATATAAAAATGAATGCAAGGTAGAGATTTGGATATGAAAATTTTCAGTTTTTATCAGTAAGGATTTTTTTGACGAGATGGGTTATATAATGGAGTTTGCAAAATACCGCGCACTGTACCTTTTTTTTGCAACTATTTACATCAAAATGTATTTTGGACATCAAGAATCCATAGAGGAGGTAGCTGACAAAACATTATTAGTCGTATGTCCAGCCAGAAGTACTGCATTGAAATGCATGGTGCTCAGCCAGATAAAATCCTAACAGGTCATTAGGATGAATGACTTCTCATTATAATTTAAGCATCTTATATCTTTTAGAGATCAAAAATTTTTAGTTTACATTCTAATAAATATATAATAAATTTCTGACTTAAAATAATTATCTACGTTGCCTTGAGTTTGTTATATAAAGTTAGATTCTATTTAAATTTCCATTTTTCAGAATAAATTTTTAGTTCATTGTGAAACGTTCAAAATTGTCTCCTCTTCAGTTTGGACAAAATTTCAAAATTTTATGTAAGTTTTTTTGGTATTTCGTATTTGGCGTTTTCAAAATTTGCAATAGAAATTGTGCCAATTAAATAAGTTAAAATGTTTCAACTCACACGTCATTTGAAAATACCTCTATCAGTTGTTAGCAAATTGGGACTCAGTTTAATGGACAGGAAGCCAATAATTGCTCCATTAGTCTGCAATATGCACTCCTTACTGTTGAGTCCTAGTTTCGGAACATCAAGCTGTTCCACCAAACCACCAAAGCGGCTTAAGAGTTGTAAGAAGCAAAAGTGTGAGAAGGTGGATAAGCCCCCGTGCAAGCCGAAATACGATGCCGCGAAAAAATTTAAATGTAAAACTCTTGAAGATCACAAACCCCCTCCGAAAAAGAGTAAGAAGAAGAAAATTAAGTCGATGTGGTTGAATCCTCCGTGTTGTATTGTACAGTGTGTAATGCCTGATCGCAGCGATGTACATTACTATCGACCAATCAACTACCTAAAGCGTAAGTATAAAAAGACTTGGATAAGCTGCCAAAGGGTACCACCTAAACCACGGTGCCTGCCTGTCAAGTTCATATATCCAACACCGAAAAGGCGAACATTTAAGAGGAAGAAGGGTGCCAAAAAATCAGGTTGCGATAGAGAACTGACAAAGTTTGCAGAGACTTTAATGCCATGCAGAAAGCCCAAGTCAAAAGCTAAATGCCCTAAAATCACTTTGGAAGGTTGCAGGGGAGTTCGTGTCCCACCCAGATGCTTCAAAACACGAGTACCTCTTGATTGCGAAAAAGTTTATTGCCCGTGGCCTAGCTTTTCGGAATGTGACCATCCTAAACTAAGAGAACTACCACCTTCAGAATGTCTTTGTTTATCGGGAGCTTCTTTATGCATTTTATATAGGTATCTTAATGCCATGAGTAATGCCAAGCACTAAATGAATTGCTACTGCTAGCGCATATGGCCTAATACCTTTTGTAGAACTACATTAGGACATCAGATAATGACATCAATCGGACATCGAACTGAAAATTTTTTCAACCTTTGGGTTGAAATCAAAAACCACACCTTTGAAATGGTTCTATGAGGCTATGGAGGGATGTTACTGGAGGTATGAATTTCTGCAGGCAATACAAATTTAGATGGTGTGTTGACTTCATGTGTTCATGTGCAAATTTACAATTGAAATCACCAAGTCCAACAATTGTCCAGCAATAGAGTTTGGAACGTTTCAAGAAGTCTAAATGTGAAGTCAATTTTCAAACCTCAAAGCACCCCTGCATTCTTCAATGGCGTGTGAATTTTCACATCTCGTGTAAAAGGACAGACATGTGTCTTACATCTAGACATATTAAACGCAAACATTTAACTTATTTAAAACAATTTCTACACTGCATACAATAGAATAAAATTTCTTGATTTCAGTAATTCGTTTGTTTTACTTTTTCAATATATAGCAAAAAACTTAGTAAAAAATATAACAAATAACATATTTCAGCATTGTTTTTAACTAAATCTCAAGTACTTAAAGTGATAAAATTAATAATGAATATATTATGTAGTAAGTTTTTGGTCAATACTTCCCAAATTGGTATAAAACACTACAGAAGTAAAAGATAAGTGCTTATCCGTCAATTATTTTGGACAGTATAAAACGCTTAAAGCTAGAGGCTTAAAATTCAAATACTAGAGGCTTGTCAAAATCCAGAATTACTACTAGTAACTGGGTGTATGAAAAGTCATTGAATGAATGACCTAAGTTAATCTATGAAGGCTATAGGTGAATTTTCAAATCTTCGAATTCGTCCTCTATACATAAAGTCAAAGCTCCACACCAACAATATCATTGATACATCAAAGAGATTATTTCGCAATCAACGGAAAATTATTGTGTCGTATTCAAATATTCATTATATGAAAAAACCGGGTAGAAGGAAGGAACACAGAAAGCAATGTACAACCCCAGAAAGACATTTATCAAAAACAATAGCTATTCACTTATAAATCACACTAATGGATTTATCACGATGTCTAAATTGTGATATAATTTTATTAGATGTCAAATCTCATATTCCGTTCATTATTCCCTGCTCTTAAAGTTAGGACATTTTATTTTATTGAGTGATCCAGTTAACCAAAACAAGGGCTTGGGATTTCAAACCCTACATAGTAAAAATCACAATTAACAAATAGTTCATCATTGATATCAACTGAGCTACTGTAAGTATGCATATTATGAAAGAGAAAGTAAGATAATCAGTTTAGACTTCCAATAAGTTGAAAGTTTGCTCCAATGAAGAGCAAACCTTTAAGAGCTTAAATTTTTAACTTTTTGTTAAACATATGCATTAACAGGCATACTCACTGATCATATATACCAGAAGAGTAGTACTCATAAGATGAATCATATATATTGGAGGAAATCTGACACATTGGAAAACCTTTTCTTTCTTATCTGACACATTGGAAAACCTTTTCTTTCTTATAATACTGAAAAAATGTTTAAAGGAAACTTTTGAAAACACAAAATCATAATATTATGGTGAACTTTTATTTAAAATGGATACCATCCATCAATAAATCAAGAATAGTAGAAGGGCACTTTGAGACCACGTTTGCAGAAATTTAATCCTGATTTTCAGTTAATCATGTTAGTGCAGTAAAAGTCGTATAGCTATAAACCAAGTATATTTAAAAAAACCGCCCAAAAAATGTAAAGCCACAAATATCGCACAAACGAGAAAAATATACTTCTTTTATGAAGGTAGGCAATTGAAATACAGCCTGATCTGAGAGAACTTTGAAAAAAAAAGTTCTATAATTTCATTGGTTTCATTAAAACTACTCTTGTATAATTGAGTAGTTTATAATTAATTTTATGAAATAATATAGTGCTTATTGCCCTCCGACCATGCTACTAATTTAAAATTAAAGTCATTCTTGTCTTAAACGTCAAAATTCTGTAAAGTTTCAATAAATTTCTATTGACAAGTAATTTACTCTTATTTTTGTCTGATTTTCTCTAAATTCCTTTCAGTTTCATCCATTTTCCGCACAACCCGGCCAAAAAACGTAGTTCCAAAGCACATGTTGCCTTTGGTCCAACTGCAGACATTCTTCTTCATATTCAGCCAAATCAAATGCTGAAAAATATGTTTCGGCAATTTGTCGTTGCCTGCATAAATCCAACACGAATTCTAATGAAATCGTATTCGTGCAAAACACCGAAGTTATGTCCTAAAATCCGAACTAAACGTGGCTGGGAGACAAAGAGTAAACCATTTAAAATTAAATTACTTTCTGAAATAGAACAGGAAAAAGAAGACGCCGAAACTAGTGTTAAAATAGATTTGAAACGATTCAAATCATTTTGGGATATTACTCCTGAGTGTTGCTACAAGAAATGCCCAAGATCTGCACGTTACGATGAGTCTTACTACATGCCGTCAAATCCATATAAACGTTATTATAACAAAACTTGGGTTGATTGTCTAAAAGTTGAGAAAGAAGCGCTTTGTATTGATGAAATTCAAGGGTTTCTGGAACCAGAGTATCGTTCGCGTAAGATGCTTAAAGAATGCAGTAGCCGAAAAACTCACTCCAAAATTCCTAAACATCTAATGGCTTGCAAAAATCCTAATGTGGGTTCGAGTTCTTGTCTTAGTAATTTGCAACTGCTTCATTGTAGAAGTGTACGAAAGCCACCGAAGTGTAAGAAAACTCGTTTAGCAAGCATGTGTAAGAAAGTTAACCCCCCTTGCCCGAGTTTCTCTGAATGTGAATTAATCAAAAAACTGAATTCCGATGGTCCAACAGAATGCAAGTGTTGGCAAATGACATCTTTGTGTGAAACAGTAAGAGAAATGAGGCAACAACCATGAACCATAATGAGGACCAAAAATGGACGGTAGTTAACTTATTTCTCATAACTATTGTTCGTTTTTCTGTGAAGAGAACAAATTCCATTCTGAATTTATTTCTTCAATTGCGAAACCAACGATAGTTATAAGACATGTTTGATTTCTACTGTGGATTGTATTTAATTTTGGTTTGAAGAGTAAAAAAGAAATTGTACACTTGAGGCACTTAAAGTGCAATTAATACAAAACTCAAGTAAATAAAGATTTAAATGTCAAAATTAAAAAAAAAAGGTTTAATTAATTTTCGTAAAATATATCTCATTTTTTGTTTGCCAATCTTTTAATTTTCTTATAGTCTCCATTTTTTTTGGCAACATCGTTTCGCGATAATCTTTTTCAAAAAATTCCTGTCTAGTTTTTACAGTGAAGAACACTGCTGTACTTGGCTGTCAAAAAGGCGAGGGCTATGTTTGCAAAAGTTCTGAAGCCATTTTACTTACTCAATGAAGTTCGTCAGCAATTGATTTGCAGCTCCAGATTCCAACCCTATTCTTGCATAAAAAAAAAGCCAAATACTTGTCCTAAAGTAAAACCTCCTTGTTTCAGAACTTTAAGACCGAAAAAGAAAAAAATTGTTGTCAAACTTTTTACCCAAATAGAGGAGGAAGCAGAACGGATTAGAATGCAAGCAATTGCATCACGCAAGCCATCCAAATCTGCATGGGGGCATACTCCCGATTGTTGTGTTGAGAAATGTACCATTCCTTTTCGTTCCGATCAAATTCACTATAGGCCAATCAATCCACATAAACGGAACTATAACAAAACCTGGATTGATTGTCGAAAGGTCGAAAAACAACCAGTGTGTCTTAAGGAAGAAGGTGAAGTAAGTTTTAGAGAACCACAAAGCAGAAAATTTCCCAGAAAAGGAGGTGTATGTAAGGATTGGTTTCCCAAGATTCCATCGCATCTACTCCCTTGCAAAAATAAGAATCCGGTTGCCTGTAGTACAAGTGTTAGAATGCCTAACTGCACTAGAAAGCATCGTAAGCCACCAAAATGTAAAAAAACACGTGTACCCTTAGTATGCGAAAAAATCGTTAGTCCATGGCCCAGTTTCTCTGAATGTGAGTTGATTGAATACCCGAAACCTGAACCTCCAAAAGAATGTAAATGCTTGCTGCATGTGTCTCTATGTGAGATATTACGACTAATGAAAGAACAAGAAAGTAAGAAACCAAAACCCGAAAACAAGAGATGTGCCACTTAGCAGCAGTATATCTGTTTCTGATTTTTGCTATCAGTTTCTCAGTAAAGAAAAAAGGTCAAATTTTTTTTTAAAAATTCTTTTTTTCTTTAAATGCGATACTAATGGCAATACTCAAAAATACATATTCACTTCGCAAGATAACTAAAAATTTGGTTTAAAAAAACCAACAAAATTTCTTAGTAGACTAGGAGTTTTTCAAAATTTCCAGAAACAAACTTCTTATATATTAAAAATTATTTTTTTTTAAACGTGTTTCAATTTTCTTCGGAGAAAATCAAAATTCAAAATTTTTCGTCCAGGACAAAAAAATTTTGAAAAGATTGGCAAACAAATTTGGTAAAACTTTTGGCATTTGAAATTAAGTACATGTTCAAACTAGCGAGTAAAGATATGCTTAGGTTACCGCTCTCACTAATTGCGAAGCGGTGCTTATCATGCAATGCGCTTCACAACAACACCAGTGTACTATCCGCTGTCAGCGGAACTTTGATACGGGACCAACTACACAAACCATCAATCTTTGCCACATCGAAGCGTTTCATGGCTGTTTGTGGCGGAGACTGCCCTGCTAAATCAGACTTGTGCAAGTTCTTTAAAAAGCAGAAGAAAGCCCCCAAGAAAAGCAAACCAAAGGTAGAGAAAGCTAAATTCAAGTCCATGTGGGAGAATCCCCCTTGTTGCATAAGGGTCTGTATACTACCGAAGAGGTTTGATGAACTTTATTACATGCCCAAGACTAAAGCTGAACGTAGATATACGCAAACATGGCGCGAATGTCCAAGGGAAATCAAGCCCTTTAAACGATGTGAAGTTGTATATCAATGCGAAGACATTATACTACGCGATCCTTTGTGTAAACCGATGACAGCAAAACCAAAAGATATGGAGAAATTTATGGCAAGTAGAAATTTCAAGTGTCCAAAAATGAAATTGACAGAATGTCGTCCTGCACGTAACCCCCCACGTTGTCAAAAGACGCGTTCCCCAACGGATTGTAAAAAAGTGAATTGCCCAGTAAAGAGCTTTTCGGAGTGTCTTAAACCACCATTTAAGAAGCTGCGCCCCGTTGAGTGTCAATGCTTGAGAGCATCGTCATGTGACGCACACAACTATTTCATACAAAAGAACAAGAAATAGGTTACACACTCGCTAGTGACTGGTTCCGCTGTATAGAAACTGTGTGTAAGTATTACAATAAGACCTGCATATCTTATGACTTTATGATAATAATAATAATTGCAATATAGATGAATGTAACTTGAAGATCACTTCTACGCTTTAGCATTCGCACATATAAATCAATGTTGCGGATGTTTTATGCTATTGAAGTTTACAATGGAATAACACCTAGGGTGATAGACCTGTACCTGGACGTAGTTTTATGATGTTATTCTTGTTATTCTTATCAGCGGACCAAAATTTCCAGACCAGAACATGAAAAATTTGCCCAAAAGTTCCCAAAAATAAAATTGCTTCAATATTTTAACTCATGTCTTTTATTTTGAGAAGTGATAATTTTTTTCTTGCAACAGACTATTGTTTGAATTAACTGTGATGCTTTTTAAAACTAGAAAATTCTAAAATATTTGAAAAATTAGGAAAATTTTATAGCATGTCCATATTTCTAGAAACATTATTCACATGCTTTACACGCTTAATAGATCTTGATAGCAGCTCTATTGTATTAATGAACTGTTAGAATAATGTTCGCAGACAAAATTCGCAAAGATACATGTTTGTATGCGAATATAAAAATCTTGCCAAGTTCTAGCCAGTGTATACCCCAATATTGTGTAAAAGCTGAGTATAGTAAAAATAAAAAGATCTCAAATTTGGTCCACAGCTTTAAGTGAGCGAGAACTAGATGTGCGCCATCTAACTGTTGTTGTAGCTAAGTTCGTGTATATTTGGTAAAGACTGATCTTTCTTTTTAGGGCGACCACGTTGTCTGCTTTAGGTGGGACCATGTTGGTGACATTATGTATGGGTTTTATGCTTAAATTGTATATGTGGTTTGTTAAAAATATTCAAGGGGTTTTTCAAATCAATCAAAATTCTAATTAATTCTAATCACAATTCTGAAGTACTTAAAATTCGGAACTTGAAAATGTTAATTTGATACCAAGGAAGTGTAATATTGTCTAATCAGTTTTGTTGTCTGATTTGGTACATTTGTTAGATATAAATCTTTTATTGTTCTGTACTCCTACAAGTTATAAATTTTATATTTTTATGAAATATAAGTAACGCATGGATTTTTGTTAATGAAAGGAGTTCAGTTGGCGTTCATTTTAAGGATTTTCACATAAATACACAACGTAAAATTCATAAAATTTATTCGTTACTTTTCATTTGTTTTTGGGAGCCATATCTTCTCATCCACAGCCAAGTTTTTATTAATCCTGTTCTATATTTTTATTTTCATCAATTTGCGCGCATTTTTAAATATGCAACAGCAGTGCATCCATTCTGGAAGGCAAAGGGTTGGCATCCATTTACCATTTTATCATTACAGAGACTTTTACTTTTATTTGGAATTGGAATGTCTATTTGTGTCGAAACGGATATATGCAAATATGTACCCATACATTGCTGCTGTTCCTGTTCCCATGTGCTCTGACTGTTTAAAAATTTAACAAAATTTTATGCACATTTTTTGTTTTTGTGAGTGAATGGGCCTTACAGGACTACACAGGATAAGCCTAAAAAACAAAAATGTAAACAAGCAATAAAGAATTATATTTAAATGCAACGTTATGTTTTTGGTGCCCTGACAAATAAAATGTGAACATTTTTATAATAAAGAAAATGGCGAATTTTTTTTTATGTTTTCGGGCTTAAAATTGCTCGAAAGGAGTGAAATTTGTCCTCTGTTTTACACCCACTGCCTTACAGAAAGCCTGCAACAAATGCGTGCATTAAGAGAGTTCTGAATTTTTTTGTTAATAATATTGTATATTTATTTTTTTTAAAAACGTCATCAGTCATATGCAGTTATTTCTGCGATCAAATGAAAAGCGTTGTTTACGACTTTCCCACAAATTGGTTTTGTTGACATTCTGATACTGTTTCAGTTGCTAAAACAGAATATTTGAGTGCTGTGAAATGTAAAGGAATTTAAAACCTTAAAAACATTTTCAAAACTATTTTCTTGGATTAATACTACAGAACATACATTGAAGACCCAGATGGGCTGCGAAAAATGCAATTTAGCTTGGCCAAGCTACAATCTAATGAGAGCGAGCATCCTTCGGCATCACCATCGGCAAGATCATCAATATCAAAAAATTGATCATTCCACTAAAGAGTTATTTCACTAAGGAAGCTTACAAACTAAGGAGTGTAGTCAATATCTCTCATGCGGGTTCTAAGATTCTTCTTCCTTAATCCCGCAGTTTGTGTTAAAAATGTATTGTATTCTTAGATCTTATCACCAAACGTGTGGTAGTTAAACGACGCTTATAGACTTAAGAGGTCGAACCTGTGCCTCTGACAGAACCACTTAAGTTGGATCTAATCACTTGAACTCTTAACTAAATACTCATTTGTAAAACACGTGCAGGGGACGTATGAACTATCTGACAGCTGCAATCCTTAATTTCTATCTGCCATACAAATAAGTGGTTCATATATTACTTTGTTCTGCAGTTTTTTATTTGTCAAAATGTCAAATTATTTTTGTAAAAAACTTTGTTATAAAAAATAAAGAATGGGTGGGAAGAACTCAAATTATTCAAGAAGATTTTTGCTGATGATACTGTGTCGCAACCACAACCCTAACATAAAGTCGAGAAGACAATAAAGAATATGCATAGTCTGAATGTCCCGACATCCAATGTATTGACAGTGAAATAAACGTGAAAAAATAAATTCAATAAATAAATTCATTGTACTTATTAGTAGAAAGATTACTGTTAAAAAGACTGCTAGAATAATAGGAATGCTATGAACAAAAATTGAAAAAGTTCCGCAAGTTCCTTTTTCTCCGGAATTGGTGCCCTGTGAGACTTTTCTATTTTGCATAGCCCAAAAAGACACTCAAAGGAGAAATCGTGGAGCAAGAAAGTACGTGCTAAGAGTGTTTCTTAAACGGAAAACTAGGGTGACATACGGAGAACTATAGTAATTTAAAGGGAATGAACTGAACGTTGAAGATATGGTATATACTTTATGAAAAAAATTCAATTACATTTTGAATACACCTTATATGTGCAGGATGAACAATTTATTTGCTAGTAAAATTTTATGAATTTAAAACACTGCATATTCCAGTTATCACTAACGCTTAAATAGTTTCATTATAAATTTATTATTAAAGGAACCTACATTTGCTCTAATGACGATAGTTTTAAATGTTGTCTTGCTTTTTTTTATAAGTCACAGACACAGATAAAACCATCTGTTTTACTAAGCAAATTCGTGCTAAATTTTTTCACACATTTTAATTAAACAACTATCTGGTACATTCTTTTTAATGATTACATCAATTCGAATAACTTTCAAAACTTAACTTAGCGACATCACAAAACGCCGCTCTATTTGTAACGTAATGGTACCCTATACCCAATGGTAGTAGGCAATATAAATACTGTATCGAATGTCGAGTGAAACTCTGCTGCGATATTGTAATGCTGTCGAGTTTAAGTTTGGTTCTTCTTAAATGTGCTGACTTTGTTGGAACCGAAGTGTAACTAACTATCACTTTATGATGTTTTTGTAAACTTACTATATTCTACTATCAATAAAAGGGTACCAAATAAAAATTGAAGACATACTTAGCGTAATAAATAATATATATTATAACAAATGATATGCATTGCAATAAAATATATTTATTGTAAGAAATTGTTGTCACAATTGAGTCTAAATGTGAATGTTGACTTATCACAATTAGAACTCAGTGTTGTATTTTTATCACGCATTCAACGCATATATCTTAGCTTATTTAGTAGACCTGATTGGTCTGGTATACATTAAGGTTAAGAGAAAGAAAAACAAATTCATGGGTTAAATATTGTAATTAATCGAAACTACCAGGTTTAATCATAAAAATTAGTGACATTTCGATACAATGTGCTGAGTTAATGTCAGCATAAAATACATTAAATTTATAGTTCCAATAAATATAATGAAAAGAAAAATGCTAATTTAATTGGGTATAAGTTATATACCAAAATATAGAAAGCTCTATTGATCCATTCGTTTCGATATTAAGTGATATTAAGTTTAAGTAAACTCGTAGTATAGTGTGCACGTCAGTTACATTGCATCGATTGACTTACGTTGCGGGTCCAATTTATTTAAATAGCTTTTCTTATAATTTTTCTAGGTTAGTTTTAAGCAGAATTTAGCTCATTTTCCTCGCAACTCGCTATTTCTTGTCAGGTGGAATTTCAGTAGTTGATTTTTCGTGTTCGCTGCATAAGAAGAGGTACGACTTCAGATGCAAAGTAGGCCAAATTCTTCATCGTGTGGATATGCGACAATTTTAAGTAGTTTATTTTTGTTAATAAATGTTTTTCATTTATTTTTTTTTTGATTTTTTTTTTGTGGTATAATAGTATCATTTATTATAGTCCATACAGATTGGTAATACGTTCAGATATACTACTCTACCAGGAAAAAATATCATTTAATTTGGTAAATGTTCAATTAAACTTACATGAATTGCTGTGTATTGGCTAACATAGAAGTTAAAAAAAGAAATAAATGCATTTTGTATGGTAAAATTAATGTGGTATAGCAAAATCGTTTAACTACTGTTTTAGGTGAATGAAGCGAACAGCATCTTTGAGATACCAACTCGCAGATTTGGTTGGATTTACTTTGCATGCGATCGCAAGGAATCCATTCATGTATTCATGTAAATGACTTCCAAAATTATTTAAATGTAGTAGTGAATATAAATAAGTATATTTTATATCATTAATAAATTAGTTTAGTATTATTTAGTATCATTAATAAATTAGTTTAGTATTTAAAAAAACAAATTTTTAATCAAGTAAAATTATATTTAATTACTTTTTCTGATGCAGTATAATGTACTTGCAATCTCACATAGGTATGTGGAACTGTGAATGAACTGGAAATCAATATTTCATTGTATTAGTTTCTATATATCAAAAAACACGTTTGTTCTACTTATAAGTAAGTTAGTTGTCTTCCAAAGTAGTTTAGCTAAACGATTACTTTGTAAAGATATAGTTCGACTTTACGATTTCTAGAACAAAGATATTCGCTTCAAAATGTTGTTGACTTTCAACAACATTGAGCAAACATTCAATAAGGCTTCTAGTAAACAATCAAAATGTGGTATGAGTCTCCAGATAAACTACTTATATATCTGATGTTTAACTAAAATATACTCCCGCACACAATATCAAACTAAATGAACTCAACTACTGATGTTATGTAGACTTCAATCGTACTTTTTTAAATAATTTATTTGTGATTATTTGTTCGCATCTGCTTAACGAAAACAAATTT